GCCCTTCCTCTGGCCGATGACAATTTCAGAATACTGGAGATGATTTTGCCATAGGAGGCGATGGTCAGCAGAAATGGAATCATGACAAACACCACTGCAACTACATAGACTGCCATCTCATTCACAAAAGTGTCACCACAAGCAAGCTTGAGGACTGGAGGGATGTCGCAGAAGAAGTGGTTAATTCTGTGAGAYCCACAAAAGGGCAAAGAGAAAATCTGGYATGTTTGTCCRATCACAGCTGGAAGTGCACTGATCCAAGAGGCCTCCACCAGCTGCATGCAGACCTTGTGGCTCATGACTACAGGGTACTGCAGAGGGTTGCAAATGGCCACATAGCGGTCATAGCCCATTGCTGTCAGGAGGAGGCACTCTGTGCCTCCAAGCAAGAGGACAAAACACATTTGAGTAGCACAGGCATAGAAGGAAATATTTCCTTTCTGTGTACATAGGTCCATGAGCATTCTTGGGATGGTGACAGTTACATAACAGATTTCCACAAGGGAAAAATTGCTAAGGAAGAAATACATGGGGGTTTGAAGAGCAGGGTCAGTTTGTGTTATTAYTATTATAATGCTATTGCACATCAGAATAGCCAAGTAGATGAGKAAAAATATCCCAAACAGCATCCACCGGAGATGGGGAATATCAGARAACCCCAAAAGAAMAAATTCCAGCATTGTTGTATTTRATTTTTCTGTTTTAATTTGATCCCCATCTGCAGATATTGCAAATTCAAGATGGTTAATTCATTTAWCTTTGTAATTACAATGATATCCTATGTTATGTAACTTAGATGCATGAATATACTTTATAATCCCTTAAATTATTTTTATCATTTGTGTGCTCTATTTTTATGAAATAAACTTTAAAGCACCAGGCATTAACTTATAAGCAGGTAAAATGAAGCATTAAGATTGAATTCATTTATTATACTTTATTTGTAATGATAACAATGTTATTGAGAAGTATTAATTATTGTTTAGAACATATTGTGGATAAATAGTATTTTATTATTTTTTCCTTAATGTTGGGATCATGTAACATACTTTTTCTCATTTCTTTTTTTTTTGAGTTTGTTATTTTTCTCTGTATTGGTAGTGATATTTCACCTTCTTTTGCTTCAAACCTTTACTCTTAAAGCTTTTATTGCTTTTATTTTATTTTTGTCAWATTTCTACTAAATATCTTTATATTTCAATGCTTTCTACTTSWTTTCAATTTTAGTTTAAATAAATCATTTACCTTATAATAGTCATTATCATTATTTACATATATCTAATAYTGTCCAACTTTAAAATTAATAAATTTAAGATATKCATGCATTATATAAATATTTTACTCAGATACRGATCTGAGAATTTGATGATTTTCTGTTTTATTAATTTACAACTATCTTTGAATAAAATACTCAAAGTGCTCTTTTACACCTTACCTTTATAGATTTGCATTAAGCAGTCTATGGAGTGTTAAGTGACTTATCCTATAAAATTTTCAGTTCTTTTCTTGGAAATTTACTTTAATTCTATATCAGGTTTGCTTTTTGGAAACATGCATTGCTCTTAAATAGCAAGAGTCCTGCCAACCCTGGGGAACATCTTCTCTCATGTACAAATTTAATTTCTAGGGAACTTCTGTTGGCAAGCATTCAGGTTCATTTTTCTAGGTCATAGTTTATAGATCCATCCTTCTCCCCAGCCCATCCTTGGCCTAGAGCCTCCCTCAGGAGGAAGCAATTTACTGGCAGTAAAATATCACTTATTTGTCTATCATGTCAGGCCACAGAAGTTAAAAACAAACAAGCCAAGTTTTAGCATATTCATGGCCTTTAATTAGTAATGTGGATTTTCTTTCTTTCTTTCTTTCTTTCTTTCTTTCTTTCTTTCTTTCTTTCTTTCTTTCTTTCTCTCTTTCTTTCTTTTTTTCAGATTCAGGCCATCCAGGCCTCTAGGAAATGGGACACATATTTTGTCACATACATGTTCTCTACATTGACTCTTCATATTTGGGGTGGCCCTTTTTAGTACTGGATCATCTGTACCCTAAACTAACATTTGTTAAACTAAAGCACACCATCCAAGATGACAAATACCTAGAAATTTTAAAATTTGTATAATGTTGTCTAATCAAGAAAAGTATCTAGMTGTTTAAAAACTAGAGACTATGACCAAAATAAATATTTTAAACTAGATTATGGCAGAAAAACAAGAGGAAAGTTTCATCTCAACACCCTATCCTGTCTGAACTGTTTACAGGTATGTGTGGAGAAGAGTCTCAAACAACAAWCCATGAGCCTAGAATCTTATGTATGTGGAATCAATTTTGTGATTTCCTGCTTGGATTTCCATGAGCATGGACATTGTGTTTCTAAAAGCACATTCTTTGCATGTTTTGAATCTGTTTCTCTTTACTACAGCATGTTTCTACATTGCTTCTCTGTACTTTTTTATTATCATTTTTTTTCACTTATATCAGAAAATGAGAACTGTACTCATGAATTACCACAACCTTGACTTTACTATAGTAGGTAACACATTGAATGTCCATCCACCATTAAAGCAGATTTATCTAATCATCTYCCTATCATTAGAAATGATATTTGTCACTCTATAAAACATCTGAAAATATCCAAGAAAATGAAAAAAAAAAGTCAGAAATACCAATTACTTAGCAAAATAAGCAAGTTTCCTACACAGTACAATTTTGCAGGTAGCATTTAGGAAAGTTTATTACTTCCATCTGCACCACACTATATGGCCTAGTTCCCTCAGCCATCTTTGTAGTTCCTCATAGACAACTAGCACTCAAATAACTTAAAATTGAACAGAGATCATACAGAAAAAAAATGCAGTAAAAAGCACCAACACATAATACACCTAATTTTAACCCAGATGATATTGGGGAAACTAGTCAGAGTCCACACATAAGACAAAACACTCTGATTTAAAATGATCTATAGCTAAAGAAATCTGATTAGTCTTTCCAACTAAATAGGATGGTGCTGGAGAAGTTGCTTTATGTCAAACATATGGAAATGTGGAGAGCATGAAACCACAGCCCGAGTTTTGGCCCCTAATAGTGTGTTTCATTATTTGTTCCAAACACATCAGATCCTTCTCTGATCTCACAGAGTTCAGTTTCTTAAAATCTAAAACCTTTTGTAACAAATTTCTCTATGGCCTAAGTCATCCTCTCCAGGCTCAGATATCAATGAACAACAAATTCTTACCAGCCTGCACTGGTATGCCATGAGGTGATTGGGATAGACAGCTGTCTCTGGGTTTATTTGAAGAACACTTACWCCAGGTACCAAGAAATTCCATGTASTTTTCCTTGTGGCACCCAGTTCCACAGTGAACCTTGTTCACCCTCTGTCTTGATTTCATCTAAAGGRTATCTCAGCACTCAGAGCCTCCTGCACCCTGTCCTGCATTTATACCCCAGCAAGTCTGGGATTTAGAACTTGATTCCAGATCAAAGAGTCTAAGTCTTTCAAACCTTGCTCTCTGAGTTCTTTGCTTACAGAAGTTTTTCAGAATTTTTTAAAATTTAATATAGCCCTGTTGAATTTTTTTTAACAAAATATAGTTTTTATTTTTGCTTCTTTGTTTCAACTTAAATGTGGCCAACTAGTAACAGTGTTAGGCTGCTTGTACTAGCACAGTATATTTATTTTCCGATATTGAATATTTCTGGGAATAAAAAGTGAAGTTAAAAGTAACTTTTATTACRTTTCACAACCAATATTTAAGAACAGTTTCAAAAGCAAAATAGAATGCTGTAATACATAGCCATTAATATTTAAGTGTATCATTAACACTTTCAACAACAGAACAACTGTCCTAGCACATGACCATGTATTTTCATTGGTTATTTTGACAGTTATACTTGCACCTTATACAATGTCAGTATTATTTTTCATTATCAGCTTGCTATTTAGATGCTGATATTATGAGGTAAATTTTTCAAACCACACTACAAACTTTAAAATATTTTCACTGAGATGTAAAATTCAATGAGATATAAGATATGCACATTTCTGAATTCATCACCACAATCAAGGTTTAGAATATTCTTATTTTCCMCAAATACATCCTCATGCAAGTTTAGGATACCTCTTCCCTCCACCCTTCATCCTAAGAAAGTACTGATTGAATATCTTCATTTACAAATCATTCATAAAAATTCAGAACATACTCTTACATGTGGAGTGTTTCCCTCAATGTGAGAATGTAAAAGTCATCAAAGTTTCTGTGAATATCATAGTTCATTAATTGTGGTTTTTGAATAGAAATACATTGACTAAATAATCCACCATTTTTTATTCACTCAGCTGGTTTTTTATTATTTCGAGCTTTGGGTAATTATAACTATAGATGTTGCATATTACCATGAATAAATTTTATATTTGCATATGTTTTCATTTCATTTACTTAGAATAAGTGTTATTTGGCTATATATTGAAGTGGAAAGTTTGGGTGAAATTGCAGATGTCTTGCTCAAAATTTTATGCCACTATCAAAAGTTTTTTGGAGTATTTTTATCATTTCACATTCCTGACCGTAGGTATAGGTGTAGCAATAACTCTCACAATTTTTTTTTTTTTGCATTGTTTGGATTTCCAGTGTTTGCTGTTATAATGCCTGAATTGAGATACCTTAGCTATGTATGGTGGTAGCCACCTGTAATCCTATCAAACCAGGAGGCTGGGGCAGGAAAATCTCAGGTTCAAAGCCAGCCTCAGCAACTTAGCAAGGCCCTAAGCAATATAACTAAGTTGTTGTCTCTAAACAATTTTTTTTTTCAAAAGGTGAAGCATGTTTGCTGGGGATGTGTCTTAGTTTTAAGTGCCCCTGGGTTCAATTCCTGCTACCAAAGTTAATTAAATTAACTAACTAATTTACATGTAACTCTTAGTATTGAATACAATTTTCTTGAATTGAACATAATTAATAGACAAAATAATAATGAAAAACTTGGAATGGTGATGATTCAGATTGTGTTTTTTTCCATTAGAATTAAGTATATACTTACATATTGATGTTTTTATATATATATAGATATGGATTTTGATTAATATTTTCTTACAAAACTATATATTACTTTTTAATGACTTGTAGTTTCATCTAAATAAAAATAAACACATTGTTGCTTCATACATTTTATATCATTTATTTTATTGTTTTTATTCCTTTATATCTTTAATGAATATAATTTTAAGATGATCTCAAACTTTATGGTTCTTCCTGTGCATGCACCTCTTCCTACTTATTCAAAGAATATATGATGCTATAAAATCAGTTTGCACTTATCATAAAGGACTAACTTCATTTGCTTTTAACTAGGTTTGTCAGCCTTGTAGCCTGACTGAATCACATAAATCTCTTAAAATTTAGGTATGGTAGTCAGAATCAGCAATCCAAGGATTCAGTGGGAAATAAATAAAAGAGAGCAGGAGGACGCAATGTGGTTGGTTTCTAGGAGCTAACACTTGGTCCCCAGTTGGCATCCTTCAAGGAAAATGCACCTGAATTTTACCAGCACAAGAAATTTGATTCCACAAACATCCTAGCTGAGCTAGAATCAAATACTCTTCCCCACAGCCTCCACACCTTAAATTTAGCCATGGAGACCCAAATCACAGAAACTAGCTGCCCTGCACTAGACTTATGACCCACAGATGCTATGAGATGATAAATTTGTATTTACTTCAAATGCTGAGTTTTGGGTCACTTGTTAAGCAATATTTGAAAATTCAGGAGTAACTTAAAAKACATTGAACTTAGTCTTTACCCTTTTAGAGTGGTTTTGCCCTTGATCTGGAGAAGGTATCTTTGACTCTATGTATGCTTAGTTAAGGGTCCTTTACTTAAGATAAGACAGTGTACTTTAGGATGTTCTGTGGAAGGTCCAAAGCAAAACTGGTGGTCTCACTCACTTCTTTATTGCTGGTTGTCAAAATACCTAATGTGTTTGATTAACAGCATGGCTGTCATGACATGATCTGACCAGGAGAAATAAGATCTCACCCCAACTCCCCATACTCTCTCAGCCTAAAGTCCAGATTTCCTGCACAGGCCATCTGATGCCAAGCAAACATGCAGCCTGGTTTATGGGGAAAAGGGAAAAGTTAGGAATTTCCTGATACTGAGTGTCTCTCAGAACCAGAAAATTGACTACATTTTTCTTTATACCGTGAACAATATTTTTTGTCATTAGACAAAAGTCTTTGTGAATGTACTCTGTTTAGTATGGTGAATCTCCAAATAATCAAAACAACAGAAAACAAAGCAAACATATTTATTTTTCTTAGGTCTAATATTCATACAAATTGATAGAAACATTTATTTGATCACTGATTTGGCAATTTTCACAGGTACATATTTTCTTAGTTGGAATGACATGCGGAGACTTACATTCTTCTCTACTTGTCAGGGAGGTGAGGTTTCCTCAGTGGAGCTGCCCTGCTGGGCTGTCCTGAGCAGCTGAGTACAGTTAAGGTATTCATTCACTCCAGTGCATCAACAGAGTCTAAGTCACCTGTCTCACCTTCGATTCGTCTCTGATTGTGACAAACAGAAACATACACTTTCATAAACACATTGGAATAAATGTGTGGGATATTTTGGGGATATATATTAATCTTAGAAGATGATATATCATGGATTTTGTTTATTAAATCAAAGGATAATTATTTTTATTTTACATAAAAGAAGAAAAGTGTGGGCCCAAATGGGTGGAACTAGAGAAGTAAGGATGCATGATATATGAGCTGTAATTTTGCTGGGTACAGAATTCATGCTTGATGATTTAAATAAAATACTTTAATCAGAGCATCATTTACATGATATAATTCATTCCTAGACCCAAGTGACCACATCAACACAAATTGGTGGTTGAAAACAACATGATATCAGTCTCTCATATTCTCAAGGTCACTGTCCCAACTGAATAGTTTGGGGCTTCACCTCCTCCAAATGCTTTAAGAGAGCGTCGTTCCTCTGCTCTTCCAGTATTGGGTGGCTCTTGTCTTCCTTGGTTTGTGCCTGAATCATTCCAGTCTCTACCTCCATCTTCACACAATGTTCTCTGTTTCTCTTGTCCATTTTCTAAACTTCTGTCTTCTGTGTCTTATGAGAACACTTCCTTCACTTTGGTGCCTGTCTTACATCTTATTTCAAAATCCTTAAATAACTATATTTAAAAGACCTGTTTGTTCCCAACAGAATCACATTTTTAGGGTCCAGATAGAGATACATTTAGAAAGACCAGCACTCAGTCCAAGACATAAAATGTACAAATCTACAAACTTATAATACTATAGTTATAAACAAACAAGTCCTTAAGTTAACATAGGAGAGAGTGAAGCTACCAGAAATCATTATCTATTCCAGAAATAGAGACGTGAACAGGATTTACAGACTTAAAATGACTGGGAATA